TCACTTTAAAAAATCGCGTCAAAGATTATCTACTTCAATCAAGTGATGTGGAAATGATAACAATTTATGAAAACATAAAACAATATACCCAATACTGCTATATTAACATTCATATAATAAATTTTAATATTTAATTAATATTAATATTTTGTTTATAAATTCAGTTTTCCATCACGTATGTTTTGTGGTCATAAGTCTAAGTTTCAAATTTAAATTTGAAATTTCCTGCCGTGCGACTCTCACGGACAGCGACTCGGCTGTCTTCGCATACAATCGTGTCTCCGCAATTTGCTCTCCCGAGACACAAGTGCAATATTATTCCAACAGTATTCAACAACGATCTGAAGCCTTTTCCGAGGTCATCTGTGTACAAAAGCAACAATATGGGTCCCAGAACACAGGCCTGAGGAACATCACTTGTAACAGGTCTTGGCGAAAAGAGGGTGCTTCGAACACGAACTTGAAAAGCTCTGTCAGTCAGATAATCCAGGGAAGTCATTTTCCTCGATTCCCTATAGCCCACGGCATGCACAGGAATCTCGTATGCGGAACTTTATCCTAGGCTTTGGCATAGTGTATGTAGATGTCCATGGGACAACCTTCATTAATCCCCCTAGTCCAGTTCAAAGCACACATTATGTTGGTGGTCGTGGATCTGCCAGGTTCCAAAAAAACCGTGATGCCGTGTTGCCGTCACCTCATTATTCATTGTATGGTTAAGTAGCTACAATAAGCCGTTCCATTACTTTACCCACGGCGCTGGTCTGACAGACAGGACTATAGTTTACATGAAGTAACATACATGTTTTTTTTTCTCCAACGCGTCTGTCCTTTTAACCGTCAACACCACTAGCATACGTACGTACGTAAACCATACGTACGATTTTTCCGAAAATGTCCCGGTTGATCTGCCTCCACACGAAACGCCACGACTTAGAACAACATTCTTCAAAACTTTGAGCTTCTTTACATGAAGTTCCCGGACATTATCAAAATATTGCCACAAACGGCTACAATTTTTTTCTTTAAATTTCTTGTAAGAACAGGGTAAAATACATTTATAAAAGTGACATAAGTCCGATTCCATGGTTAACTGAATTTTCTTAAATTACAAAAGTTTGAATTTTTCCAGCGTCTTGCTACATCTACAAAACTGAAAATAGTTTTCCTGCATATAAAATTTGGTGTCTATAATCAGTCCTTTCAATAAGGTCCTGCACATTCTTTGAAACTTTTAGTAATTTTCGCGCAATATTTGCAATTCTAAAAAATTACAAAATCAAGGTTTTCTCAAAAAAGGTTCAAAATATTTCCTTTAAGCTTTTGGTAGAGATAGTGCTAAATGTACAGATGTCATAAACGCCATATTATTCTATATATTTTTTTAATCACAAAATTGTAATTTTATTCACTTGTCTTTAGTTACTTTAACGGTAATTTGTTGACATTAACGCATTTATGAGAATATGTGCTTTAAAAAAATGTCAGACAATGGTTCTCGAAAACAATAGTTTTCTGTGAAAACTAGCTCAAAATTTCGCATTTTCAGAAACGCCCAAACGTCATTTTCTCTGACATTTCCAAAGAATAGCGCCAATTGCACTGATTAAGATGACAGAATTAATTTTGCTGCATTCTTTTGTTTAAAAAATATATACATAGCATTTTTTTAAAGATCTGATATTTGCAACATTTCTCATTTAAGAAAAAAACCCTCTGTATTCAATATTGTGCTTTTGCAATGTTAAGATTTCGCAATTTTTGTACATGTACTGATCGCGAAAAATGGAACTAGCGGCAATTTTTTACTGTCCTTTGAAACGTATGAGGAGAAAATTTGGAGCCGTTTCTGTAAAAATTCTAAGTGAAAATAACCACCCGCGATTTTGAATGTTTCACATTTTAAAATACTTACACTATGGTGGCAGTAAAACAGACCGTTTGATGTATCGACAGTGGTTCAATTTCTCTGTAATCTGGAGGATAAAAACGAAAAAACCTACAATTTTTCAAAAATTGTGAAGGTTTTTTCCTTTTGATCAATAAATACGAAAATAGGCAACATTTAGGCATTTAAACACAAAATAGGCTTTATATAGTCACTATAAATGTTGCATATAATACAAGTACTCTTAATAAACTAACCTAAAATCTGCATTTTCCATTGAAGTAAAAAATAGGCAAAAATCAGGCAGCTTATTCATAATGCCCATAATGATAATATTAACTATGTGGCAGATATTATAAAAAAATTGTATGTATAATTTTTGAAAAACATAGTGACATCCATGGAATTATTTCATTTTATTATTTATTAACAGAAATAAAGAAAATGGCATTAAAGTAATGTTATTTAGTGCAATTAGCACAATTCGTTCGAGAAAAAAAAAATTGCAGTTGTTTTCATGAAAACAGTGTTTGAGTGTTTCTGAAAATACAGAATTTTGATCCAATTTTCAAAGAAAAGTTTTGAGTTCTTGCTCTTGAGCTCTTTCATTACAGATTATTTGAAGCAATAGTCCTCTTAAATGCAATATTACATGAGAATTGCTGTAATGAAAATATTAACAAGGTGAGAGAGATATTTGAAAAAAATTACATTTGTGCACTTCCATAAAAAACAAGAGAATACAGCGAAATTATGTTTGTCATCTTCTACACCAAAAATTTAGCAATATCCCTACAAAATGTTGATAGTAAAAATTAGGAATCCTTTTTGAGAAAATTGCATTTTTAATATCTATTAATATTGCCCTTATTTCACTCAAAATCTAATATTGTTTTTAAATAATGTACACAACATTAATGAAAGAACTAATTGGGGAGAACAAATTTTATTTGAAAATCTTTCGCTATCTTCAATACTGTAGTTATAAGAAGGTGCTGAAAAAATTCAAACTCTTGCAATTTTCAAAAATTCAAAATAAACAGTGAGAATTGGATATATACAAGTGTATTTCAAAGCATTCTTACAATTAATTTAATGAAAAATTTGGATCCAATTTTGAATCTGTCCCAGGGCCTTTATGTAAAGTATCCTGAAAATTTAAAGAATGTTATCAAAATCACAGAGAGAAAGGTCAGATCAACCAGAGAATATTAATTCTGGAAAAATTGTGCAAATGGGTAAGTCACTAGTGTTGTCCACAGTCAGATGAACGCTCTCAGAAGAAAAGAAAAAAACTTTTTTTTTAATAAAGGGCCCCCTATTTCCATTTTTGTATGTCTGGAAATCAATTTTTCCCCGGCAATACATAACTTTCTTTATGCTAAGTGTATTATTCTGTTTATAAGAAATTAAAAATGGAGGAAATTTTTCTGCACAAAGCATTTTTGTAAACAAACACGAAACACAATAAGGCTGGTCTTTCAGTATTGATACTATGTTAATTGTTCAAACACAATGCCATTTTAAAGAAACTTCCTTCAACTTTGGAGTTAATGCTATTCAAATGAAATAAAATTATCCAAAGAGGGAAGCAGCTAGTTCTGGTAAGTGGTATTTTAACAATTGCATTTTCTTGAGAATTCTTGAATTATGGACAGCCTTGGAGTCAATAAAAAATAAAATCTAAAGTATGTATTTCAGGTGAAGCAGCATTTGGATTGGGAACTTGAACAAGAACGAGTGATACGAGCTTTAGCTCACAAACACATGGTTCAATGGGTTCGCAGTGAAGTTGGACACTCAATTGTCAGTAGTGCCTTTGAGAAACGATTTATAAAACAATGTATTGAAGAGTTGACATCAATAGCACAAACCAAAGAAACATTTTTGCAAGGAGGTTCTGAAAGTAGCAACTACAAGTTATAATGATCAACGAAGCTTCCTTGAATTCTTACACATCAGTACTTAGTCAAAAGCAAATAAACTTAAAATTGCAGGTGATAATTATGCTTCTACTTCTGAGATTTCATCATCACACTAACTAATACAGTTTTCGTGGTAGTTTATTCAAGCTTTTCAAGATATTTTTGTTTTGTACATTCAACATCATATGCTTGTATTAATTTTTCAATTGATAAAACCAATTTCATTCAATCAGCAAAAGGTGTTTTATTTTTTCATATGCATAAATACTGTACAAAGAAGAAAAAAATATGTATGTATAATGCTGAACACTGAAATCAACAAGCAGTAGCTTCCAGTTGATTCTTCACAAACTGTTAAACTGTGGGTGGTAAACTTATGTGATACCTTAGCTTAAGAAGCTCTATTGAAAAGTTATCACAGTCAATATTCAAACATGGTACAGTGATAAACGGTTATAAACACAATATCTAGAAATAAAAATGGTTCACTGGATGAGAAAAGGACAATTGCTATAATAGTTTGCTAAAGTTCTGAAGAGCAAAATCATGTTTATCTAGTATTGAAATGAAGATTTTGAAATGTACAAACATATTTAAAAACTTAAATATGTTAACATTCTACTTGTTCATTAAATTAAGTTCATAATATGCAAGTCATCTTTTCAACTTAATCCTAAATTATAAACTTTTATCCAGTAAACATTGTCAACAACAGTATTGTTAACCGTCACCAGTTAAGCCATGGTTTGTAACCTATATACATAATAAAATTCATGCATACATTCAGTATTTTAAACATAACTCAAACTCTTTGTGTTCATGGAAAAATAATGAACCGACATTCTGGTATGATCATGATAATTAATGTACCTATCAAATAATTTTTAGAATTTCTTGATCAATAAAATCACAACAATACCATTTTTCTTATTCTAGAGAATTAACACAAATCAAATGTCTACTTCAAAATTCCATCTTTTAAACATTTCCCATCTTAAGAATGAATTCATTTTAGTAGTCATCGTAGTATTCATCTCCATACATATCATCTTCTCGATGCTGATTCAACATCTGGGCAAGGGACATTTCTGTTTGTTCTTGCTCTTCCACTTCTTCCTCTTCTTCATAGTCATCTTCCTCAACTTCACCAGCAATGCTTTCTTCCATAGCACATCCTAATTGTTGAGGGACCACATCTGAGTCAGATATTGTTTTACCTGAAGAGGATCCAGACTGGGATGGTTGGGATGATTGAGTTAATTCATCAGCTGGTGTTTTGATGGACATTTGAGAGAGATTTGACTTGAGAGATGACTGAGACAGTTCTGTTTTAAGAGCAGAATGAGAAAGAAGTGAAAGACCTTCACCTTTCCTCACACGTGAACGTTTTGAAGGTGGTATACCCCGTGGGGCACGTGGCTCCAATGACATAACTCTTTTATCATCAGTTGATTCTTTCTCAATCTTAGTATTCTCTGAATCTTGAGCAGTCAAACTACGTAAAACATCATAATTAATCTTTTTTGATATTTTCTTAGTTTCTAGCATCTTAGTAATAGCTTCACCAGGAGTACTAGCAACAGCATTTTTATCAGTTTTCCTTTGTGGTCTTTTCTTCTTTTTCTCTGGTTTACCTTGTTCTTTACTCTCTTCTTCTTCTCTTTTCCTTTGTTCTTCCTTCTCCTTCTGCTCCTTAAGATATTCAGCATTCACTTTATTCCATAAAGAATCCTTGTATCTGGCTTCTGTATCTGACATAATATATGAATCTATTTCATCCTCATCTAAACCAATGAGAGGATCATCATTATTTTCATCTCCTGCCAGCTGTTTTTCTTCAGAACCACCAGACATTTCTGAAATATTGGAGCATTCAGGAACATCAAAACTTGGAGTTTCTCCAGGACTCTTTTCCATTGCTGTTGCCAATCCCATGCTGGCTATGTTGGGTCCCAAACTAACATCCATTGAAGATCTAGAGGCAGTATCCACATCATCAGCAATATAATCATTAATAACATCCATTGTTGTTTCCATTATAAAATTATCAGCATCTCCATCTTCACAGGGAAATGCAGATGCAAGGACTTTACTTTTGCGTTTACTACCACGCTTCTCAAGCACAGTTTCTATCTCTGCTTGTAATTCACGGAATCGTTTTGCATAACTTTCCTCTTCCATCATCTCTTGCAATCGTTCCTTGTCTTTGCGCCTAGAAGCTTTGAAGGATGGTGGATCTTGTTCTTCCTCTAGATCAACAGTCATAAACTCATCTAATGTTAAACGACTTGAAGGTGTCTCTCCAAATTCTATCAAACGCTTTCTTAAAGTTGATTCATGAACTTTAACAATCTTTACAATGTCACCAGTAGTGCGATTAAATTCATGTACTCGTGCAGCCATCAACAAAGCAGCTCCACACAAGCCTGATGGACGTCGACCTGTGTGTATGTAGTCACGTTTCATACGTTGCACTAATCTTAAAGCCGTCATTGAAACTTCATGTGTTTTGTCACCAAAATCAAGGCGGTGAGCAAATCGCAGAATGTACAAACACGGGTCCATTGATGGAATGGTAATACATAAAGCTTCTGACAAGCGCAGGTATGTCCGACCAAGTTCATATACACATATTTGCAACACATCACTGAAATCAATAAGTAAATGTGGTGTACCTTCAACTCGGCATGTAATATATAAACAAGCAGCAACAACATGAGTGCTCTTGCGACCTTTTGTTAAGTTACGAACAAGAGCCATTTTATAAAAATTATGAGCTGTGTCAATGCAGTGTTGAGTGAGTCGTAATTGCTGCGCAACTCCAGTAATGGCTCTTTTAGCATTGGCAAGGGTCACCTCACGAGACTCCCGTCCAAGACCAGTATGGAAACTACTCCCAAAACCACTTGCTCCACCATGTGATTCAGATGATACAAAATGTCCAATAGCAGAAGAACCACCATGACAGTTTTCTTCAAATTGTAATTCAGAAACAATGGCACTGTCTTCAAGGACAGAGCCACAACTTGTACACACTGTATCACCACGTGCAGGATCTACATCTATTTCAGTACTTCCACAATTCTTACATTTACTTGGCATTTTAATTTTTTAAGGGCCTCTTTTGTTTTATTTTAAACACAATCCTCTCAGATTACAAAACTGCAGCTGCTAATTTACAATACTCATTACAAATATTTAAACTGGCAAAGATATGTAGTTACATAAAATACAAATGTTAACAAAACAGAAGGAAATGTTCCATATCTAACAGTCCCTTTTGATTGTTTGTAGAAAAAGAGCAACACTGAAAAGTTATGCTTGCACAATTAGTTCACTTGCCACTGAAACAAATAAATTAAAAGATTACGATAGTGAATATTTGTGGTGTGTGCTAGATATTAATAAAAAGTTAAGTGATTAACACTCACTCTCAAACCTGTACTAGAACCACTCAATTTAGCAGCCTCTTCCTGCCTTCTTTCAAATTCTTGTTGACGCTGCTGTTGCCTTTTCAAGCGTTCAGGATCTTGTATGCCTCTCTTTTCTTGTTCTTTCAATCGTCTCTCAGCTGCTTCCATCTGCTGTCTTCGCCTCGTTTCCTGGAGATGGAAATTTTATTAATGTTGGACATGCTTCTTTAGCAGAGTTGATCAAATGGCAACAGTAAATATAACAAAAGTCAACAAGCAAATATTCAAAACAAATGAAATCACGATACTAATACAACGTGAACAATTAAATACCTATCAGAATTTGTGCCCGACTTCTAAACTCTCCCTTAACAAAACAAGCATTGTTAGGTTACCACATGTTTTTGAAGGATACTGATATATGCATAACTGTCACATATTTAATGAATATGTAAAACTAGTATTTACAATGTCCGGTGTGATGTCAGTAGACGCATTTCTACAACACGAATAACACAATCCCATATTCACAAATTATTTCCTTGAAACTACTTTCAACAGCACATTTCTTCAGAGTTTACAATTCTGTTTTCAGAACATCAAGATACGGAGGTGTAATCAGAGGTAAAAACTTTAATAAAGCCTTCTAGTGGAACAAAACGATCTTCAGTGTCACTTCGCACAATTTGCGAAACGAATCACGTCCTCATTATCTACAACCATTCTATTACACACCGCTCCCGGCTAAGACCCAGCAGCGGCTATAGCATTCTGAATCTGAGGATCCCTTTTCCCCTCTTCGCCCCGCTTCACCCTTTCCATTCGCTGTGCTTCGCCCAGCTTCCCCCTCCAAAACCATTCAAGCACAATATAATTTCAATCACTACGTGATACATACATTTATACTTTACATTGTTAGCGGCGTTTACTGTATATGTAATTTCATTTGTACCATTCTCTAAATGCTTTTAAAAATTATTTATAGCTTTTCAGATATTTTTTTTCAAAAAAGTACAGTAAAAAGTCTGAACACTGGTCGAAGTGGTGTGGTTGCCATCCTTCTACCATCTTTCCTAGCTGGAAAGGACAGCTGGGGGCGAGCAACTTGGATAAGTTGCAAGTGGATTTTTACGAGTTTGGGTGATCTCTAATCCTGCAATGTTTTCAAGGGTGGCATTTTCTTCAGGTAATATAATATAAGATTTGGGGTATTGGTTTTCTTCAGTGCAATTACCTTTCTTTTTTTATCTAAAAGAAAGGTGTTATGTAAGTAGGAATCTGAAAATTGATCAACGATTTGAAGTTTTGCATTGTGTGTTACAGCTGTGGTACAGCCGTGCAGACAGCTACTAGCTGTACGATGTGCAGCAACCACGTCTTCTAGCCATGCTGCTGCCGGTTCTGCTGTTGCCGAAAGTCCCGAACGGGATCTTACGAATTTTCCTAGACCAGTCCGAGCAGAATTGCCTGGAAAAGTTCGTATGGGTTTTATTCCTGATGAATGGTTTACGTTTTTCTACAAGAAAACGGGAGTTACAGGTAAGTTCATACAGCATTCAGTGAACTGTAGTTAAATTAATTTTTTGACGGATGATGTATTTTCAGGCCCCTACACGTTTGGTGTGGGATTGATGACTTACCTGTTCAGCAAAGAAATATATGTCATGGAACATGAGTTTTTCACTGGCATTTCCCTTGCAATTGTGGTTGCGTTGCTCATAAAGAAGGTGGGTCCAGGTATCGCAACGTTTGCCGATAAAGAAATTGATGTAAGTATTTTCTGGTCATTGCCATTGTGATGTGGAAAATGATAGAAAACACATTTTAATGGTAAAATGGATTTGCAGAAAATTGAATCAGGTTTCAAAGAATCCCGGGAATCTGTAGTTCGAGCTCATGAAGAGGCAATTGCTTCAGAAAAACAGGAGCAGTGGCGAGCTGAAGGTCAGACTCTTCTTTTCCAAGCAAAGCGAGAAAATGTTGCAGCTCAGTTGGAAGCAGCCTATCGTGAGCGTTTGATGACTGTTTATAATGAGGTACTTAAAATGATTTTGTTGGTATAAAAAATGTCTTATACAATATGAAGACCCTGTAGGCGGTTATAGTTACAACAAGTATTGGTAGTATTTCAAGCGAGATACGCTAATTTATAATATTTTTAGAATTTAATCTACACGAGGTGGGTGGGTTTTATTGGATGTGTTAAATCCAGGTTCCAGACTTAGAAGATAAATATTTTTGGTTATTCATAAATGCTTTCGAAATTTTCATCGTACAGTGCTTTTGTGGAACTAGCACACTTGAAATTTATGTATGAAGTGATGATTGTAGAGTAATGTCTCTAAAGGAACAATATCTGTTATTCTTCCTACAGGAGTAATAGGAGTCATGTGATCTAGCACATTTTTATGCCTAAGTGTGTGCCCCTTTGTTTATTATTAATACTAATTTAAATGTAAACAAATTCTATTTGTTAAGGTGAAACGTCGACTGGACTACCAGGCTGAACGTGAAAACATTGATAGACGTATTGGCCAGAAGCACATGGTCTCGTGGATTGTGAGCAATGTTCTTAAGTCCATCACTCCTCAACAAGAGAAGGAGTCTCTCCAGAAATGTATAACTGATTTGAAATCTTTAGCAAAAGCCTGAGTGTGCAGAGGACCTACATGTAGTGTGCTGTAAATAATTTAATTTGAAGAAAATCTGCCATATTATGGACTGAGGTCTGTTACTGTCGAGGGCTATTAAGAGAACATAGGGAATATCCTGTAAGCCTATTGGACATTAAAACCTCTGGTTAAATAATGTATCCTTTTTCTCATCCTTTCCTAAGTTTTTCAATGTACTGGATTTTAAGAACCCATTTTGGCTAATGAGATGCTCAGTTTAGTTATAGTTCATAGATGAGTTAATTTAGAAGTATATTTTTTTATGTCATTAAATAAATGCCAAAATCCATTTAAAAAAATCAATGTTGGCTGCCCTTAAACTTTAAAATGAATATTTGGCTGTAGGCATCACATTATTTGGTAATGATGGTACGTCTTATCTTTGACATCTCTTGTGAACAGGAGCAAATCCAGCTGATCATTTTGGGTGGGGTTTGATAGATCTTCGTTAAATAATAAACATATTTGTTATTGTATATTATTTATATACTGTAGATATGGTACTATACCGTGTTATTAATTAAATAATTCATAACATAATTCAATTATAAATTAATATTTAAATCAATTTTGCCAAATTAAGATAGGTAATCGATAACTAAAGGCCGGAGGGGCTTGGCCCCAATGCTGCATTGGTCCCCCCCCCCAAGGATTTGCCAATGCTTCTGAAAAAGCAGGCAAATCAAAGAGGTTGGGAGGGAGAGACCTGATCCTACCAGGATACAATGGGCAGGTCGCTTAATACTATAGCACTACAAAGTGCATAGTCTGATTAACAAAATTTTGCAAGTGACACTACTGAGTAGGACTTGTTTATATATGGTAATTTTTGTTTATTTCTTCTGCAAACATGAAATTCACTGATTGTTGCACATTTTGAATATTATTTGTTGATTTATGTGCAAGTAATATTTTAGTCTTTAATCTTATTCTGCTATTTTTACACTATTAATATTTTTATGTATCTGCTTTTCAAATTATTCAATTAGATAAGAGAAGTTATTACTTTGGAGGGTTAAATAAAGTTTGTGTACATTAAATATTTGAAAATTGATATAAGTTGATATTCTCAATACACGAGTAGAGCAAATTCTGCAACTGTAAAGCATTGCTGTAACCTAACTAATGTGTGGTATATGGACCATACAAGTGAGGAAAATGGAAAAATCTCTGCTGTGACCTAGAAGGTAAGATGCCAATTAAACTCAAAACTTCATTTAGGCATTTTTCAGGGAACTGAAGGGAAATAATGTATTTGAGAAAAATGTATAACTAAAATTGAATATTATTAGCAAAACAAAAAATTAACTTTTGCACTGACCTCTTGGACCTGCTCGCAGGAACTGCTACCAATGTTATCGTTTCGTATATTATTTCAGTAGTATCCATACCTTTTGTGGCTCTCACAGGCAACCGATCTTTGTAAACAAGTCTTCTAAAAAAAGAGAATTTCACAGACGCGTGACAAATTTAACTTTGACGTTAAAAATGTGAAGGATTTGTGTAAAAAAACACATCTAAATATTCATGATAATGCAACCTGTAGACTCGGTCAGATGTATCATTAAATAACTCCTAAACAAAGTATTTTAGGGCCTTAAAAAAAAACTAAAATTTTGAGGCTAAAGGCCTCAAAGAAACGCTTTTTATATCATAATCTACAGGATTAAATATTATTGGACATTCTATTAAATTATTGCTGGTTTGGCAGTTATCTATACTACCAATGCCACCTATATTTCAACCCTTGGCGATGGTGGATATCTTTGTAATGTCACACTTAGAAGATTTATATTCCTCTATCTTATACTATTTACGCTTTCTGTGTACACCGTGGTTTGCGCAGACTGAAGAGGTTTATTTGCATTAATGCAAGATTCGCTCTTAGCAACAACTAGAAGTACTGTGAATAGTTGCTTGTTACAAAAGATTGTTTCTATTAAATTAAATTCAGTAATTAAAAAATGAATGAATATTTAGAACACAGTTAAAATAGAAGCACACTGCAATGCTGTTTTGAAACACACAGTAAAATTTTAGTCAGTCAGTTCAGTCATGTAGCTTTGTCAAGAGTTAAAAGCATTTTTAATATTTTCGTGACTATCATGCAAAGCGTAAAGCTGTTCAAGAATATTGAATTATTACTTAAGATATTTTTAAATGTGTTGTGAATTCTTCCAAGAAATCTAACTATATTGAATATATCTGTTGTGAGAATTACTTTTCCACATCAATTCCATTCTTTTTTATTTGATATTGTGTTAGTACAATGAAAGTTACCTTTATACATTTTGGAAAAAGAAAAATGCATGGGTATGCTGAGGTAGTAGGGAAAATCTTGTGCTATGGCACAACATAAAGAATAAACTTTTAAAATTTATCAAAGTAAAATAGCTAGAAATAAATGAACAACAAAAATCAAAACGCGCTAGCCTACAATACTATGTGAATTAATTTTAAAAAGCCATATTTTAAATTATAGAAAGAATAGAGCAAATCATTTGACAACTGCCAATGATTAAAGTCCAGACGCACAATTTAAATGTTGGCGGTATTTGGAAGTCTGTACATCGGCCAATCATGCCCATCTGTACACACATATTGTAAATATTACACTGATATCATATTATTTGTTGGTTCGCTAAGATGTAATCTTCAATCTAAGCATCAATCGCTAAGATGCAATCATCGCTATGTAAACATCATTTCAGCAACATTCCCATGTACCGAACTGAAGTCTAAGCCTACTGAATCTTTTCAAATGGTAACTATTAGTATTCATTACTCAAAGAGGAAAATTGTTTTTTGGCTTGGAATGGCTTTTCTTCATGTACATAAGAAAGCTGAAAATAATTCAATACTGTTTGGTACACAAATAATTTTTCCATTTTCGCACGCTGGTGCCCTGCTCCTCCAAAACATAACAAATCTAGGAAAGTTAATTAATATTGCCAAGAGTATGTTTCTAGTTGCCCGAACCTATTTTCACAAAACATTACTTGGTTTCCTCAAGATTAGTAATGTTTATTTCACATGTAATCACCCAATTAATACACATACTACAGAAGTTACAATGATACAAGAGATACAAGATCCGGAGAGAATAATGCATCGGGCGATCGTTCTTTCATCGCCAACAGCCGCGAAGGACTAGGGCAGGATAGGAAAAGACGAGCCTGGACTCAAATAAACGGCCGTGGGGGAGGGGCCCTTGGGATTTCAAGTCCGTATATGGCACTTGGACAGTGGTTCGGAATAGACAACGTGAAGAATGCTCACACCAAGTTCACTGATCGGCTCGCTTACTCGGTGACCTTCTCCCCTTTGCACTTCCTGCTCCACGTCCACGTGTCTTTTGCGTCTGTTCATTTACGAGCCACCTCATTCTTATAGTTGGGAGCTGATTTGTTTGCGAGGGCTGAGGATTGCGCTCGTGTGTTCTTGGAAGCTGCCCTCCCTGCCCCCGCCTAATTTGCAACTACTAGATGTCCCAAATATATTACGCCAAGTATTCATAGAACAAAAATGAAAACAACATACGAAAATAAGGAAAACAAAATAAGCAATAAGTGAATACCATCAATGTGGAATTTTTTTATCTTTACAATATGGCCTTTTCTTACGGAGTACTCAAGGCTGCCCCGCCCGGCTTCAAATCCTTCTTTTTTAATTGATATCTCAGTTGAACACATACTTCAGTATAGTTTACTACGCGAAAAATGGTGTTGACAAGCGTGTGATGAAGAACGGCCGAAATTATTTCTTTGGTCACATTTCTTAAGTAAAGGAGACGTATAATTTCCCTACTAATTGTGTATTGTTTGGCCTTTACTACGAACAAAAGCTATACCGTCCCACCAAAAAGTCAGAAACCAAATTAAAATGAATACGCTATACACTTCTACACATTGAGTACACATTGAAGCAAACATGTTACACATTGAGTTTCATTCTTCTTCGAACAAGAAACTTCTCCATCAGATGAACGTGATATTGAACCTCATACAATGGTTGTCAAAGCAATATCTTTTTCCTCAGCTGGCGTAGCATCAAATTGCAAAACAGTTCAGTATGCCGAATACTTACACTGTAGGTCTTCGCGAATTCTTTGTTCAGCCTCGTATGTACGACAGATGACTAATATTTAAATATGTGATTTATTAGTTTTGGGGAAATATATTCATTTGTGCAATGTAATTGAATTCTCTCATATTCAAGAGATTATTGTCAAATTGCCGCTTGCGAAAGATGAGGCGTCAAAATCGTTACACTAGTGCTGAACACATTTTCAGGTTTTCACGTCAGAAGTAATTTTGTTGAGAACCGCAGAGTGTGAAAGTGGCTTAGATTGTATAGTCTCAGGTACTAAAAATTGCGATTATAGAGGAGTATACTGCACAGTAATTTCAAGTACAAAATGGCTATGAATGGTGTGTTTGTAAAACATTTTATTTCCAATATAATTTTTAGGACCTCCAAAATCACTACGAAAATCAGAAATTTCCAACGTGGTTTTGCCTCAAAATCGCTTACAACACCAACGCAACAAAAACATCTCTGGCGTCATCTCGAAAGACGAAAAGGAGATTGTTTTTGCCTTCTAAACTCATAACTTGGACAATGGGAAAAACAAGAGACGGTGAAGTGATCCATCAAAACATAATTCGAAAACTGCAGACTCGTCAGTGCAAATAAGTCGCAGAAACAACACTCATTTTTCATAATTTACTTTTTTTCATGTTAGAAACTAAGATGTAATACCAAACTTTTAGAATTTCGTTGGTCAGTACAAAAGCTTGTGTCTCTTTCTGTAATCTGCCTGTTTAGTCTGTGGCAACAGAGATTGTGAATGTATTGCGTGTCTTGTCTACCGACTCCGATGCTCACAAGTCTAACCTTGATTCGGTACTTTAGAATAAATGTAAATAGAAATAATAATAATACTAATTAATAATAATAATAATAATAATAATAATAATAATAATTAACTGGTTACGATAACTGCGGCTACGTGCAAAAAAGTACGCAAGAAATTCAAATTATAATTTTACTTCTTTAGTTTGGCGAGATAAAACTTTCCCCAATGTTACCATATTGAAGCTCGCGGTCATTAAAATTCCAAAGTCCCCTCAAATCGTTTTCGCCTCTCTCCTGAAGACGTTGCGTGGGAGACGCCAGATCTGTTAAAGGATCCGTCGTCGCTTCGATGACACCCGAGTGTCTGTGTTATTGCCTTCCGCTTACGGAGTTAGGAGAGGTGTCACAACAGAGCGGATCCAGCTGTATTTTCGGGAGGTGGGGGTCATATTTTTGTGAATAATAAATTGTATTTTGTTATTATATTGTTATAATTTAGAGATTCCAACCCGATGAACTCATTAAACAGATAAACATCTTTTGAGACAAAAATCGAGTTGTAGGAAAAAAGAGCTCGTGCGTATACTCCGCTCATTCTTCCGTATTTGAAACGGAAGATCTTAGAGCAAGTGTGAAGTTATACAGAAAACCTTAGAAGTAAAATATATCTAAAATAAGATGTGAGGAGATGCAATAATGGTTATATTTACAAAATTAGTTCATTTTTTTTTTTAAAAAAACGTTCCAAATGGAATCGATATTTTGAGTATTCCTCAAACAATTTAAGTCGTATTCGAAGAAAGACGGAAATATGTGAAAAATATATACTACTATTACAGACGTTTTACTCCGTCAGTAATATAGTGATGCATCTCTCTAATTTGTATCTGTGGAAAAATAGACTAAGTTGCAACGAAGCGAAAATAGACGAAAGATGAGACGAAAAGCCGGAAACCGGACTGT